GTGAGAAAACGGAGGAGATGTTACTATACCTGGGAGTTCAAGGTTGGTATTAGCCAGAGCGTGGAGGTGGTCAGATTTCCGCAGCATGAATTTCTCTTTTGCAATAGAGACGCGAACATTAGTTAGTGGAACAATGGTTGTGTCTGGTAGGAAACGAACGACAAATGGATGGTCGGTGATCCTGTAGAGGTTTGTGCATCGGCCCACCTCAAATACACTGAGTTGGAAAATTAGACCTTCGCGTAAAACGTCTCGGTATTCGTTTGCCCGTGCAGCTGGGATGAAGCCATGAATGACAGAGCACTGCAATAGGTGAGGAGAATAAGTTATGTTTGGAATTATAAATAAGAAATATAAGATGCGGAGAAGGGCTTGGTANGGTAATATTCCAACCTTCTCATCGAGGAAAAGGAGGACAATCCCCATGAATTCACCATTCTTCTTGATGTTCCGAGCATCCCAGAAGCGAAGGAGTCGACCGACAATCTGTTGGGGTGAGCGACCTAGACGTAAGTTATCAAAAGTGACATAAGTAGCCTGAGCCGGAATAGAGACCAAATCTAGAGCAGCCATTTGAGAGTGAAGGTAGAGAGCAACTGGTTGAAAATTTTAGAGAGGAAGGTGAGTGAATGTGTGTTTGGGTTGTGATTGTTGCGAAGTTTATAGGGTAATTTTGAAACGGCTAAAAGGAGAGCTTCAATCGAAGGCGAGAGGTGGAGACGTGGGCGCATTGTAGGAGGAGTTAATTTACGAGTATAATGGCGGCAGTTACAGAGAGGGTGAAGTTGAACGTCGGAGGCGACGGCTTCAAAGGTGTCGAAGAGAAGGAGAAGAGTCGAGTGTGAGGGTGTGTTTGACTTGGGCTTGGAAGTTTGTGGGCTAATCATTTGTAGGCTTATTTAGTTGCAGTGAATGTAAATGGGCTACGGAGAAGATGCATTTGCGACGTTTCAAGGCTTGCGTTTAGTTTTAATAGTCTTTGGCTCTGTTAGTATAAATAAGGAGAGTGGGGCCACTTTAAAAAAAAAGAAGCTTACGTGGATAGCCTAGGAGGAGAGTGAACTGAGCTATTATATATATGATTTTCTAAAGATCTTTTTGTTTAATCAAATTAGTTGATTTTTTAAGTTTTCAATGCAAAAGTAAATACATTTTTACTTCATAGGACTATTTGTATTCTGTAGAATATTG